GAGAGAGAGCTGGGTAGCTTAGCGTTGAAACCACTACGTAGCAGTACCCACCCGCGCTTAGTAAAAGCGCAATCCAAACCCCCATTAATCTCTTTGAAGTTTATTTCGTCAAATCTGGTTCATAGGGTAGCCAATTTAGCTTCTACGATCAAGTTTATTCCACTTTCTGAGTGACATCCCAGTTTCTTGCCGGGGCCAAGCTTATGCTACACAAAATTTTCAGCCGATTTTACTTGCTTAATCGTTATTTTCAGGAAGGTACATCTGATCCCCGGTAACAAAAATAAAAAACAAGATGCATAGTTGAGGCTCCAGCAAAAATTCTAAGGAGAAAATTCCGTTAAAAGTAGTCGTTAAAAGTGCGAGACCGGGGCCCCAGTGAGGGGTCAGAGAATAAAATGGTGTAATGCGCACGCAGGCAACGGGTGTGTCTAGTCTTTAGCGCCAAAAATTGCGAATCGCTTTTAATACCCTGAGGTCGGCAAAATCGCTTCTTCTCTGACGACCTGTTGCGCTCAGGCAAATTTGTTTCGGTGACCTATTCCAAAAAGGCGAGTATTTGTGGGTGAACGGTCTGAACATTCGGGTGCAATTTTGCAAGGAAGTTTTAAGTTAAATTTATTCACGTATGCTTAAAACCAAGAAACTCATTAATGTGGCGGTACTTGTCTTCATTTGGACGTCGCAGCCGGGTGGGATGCACGAGCTGGAGTAACTTAGAGTTGCGAGTTACAGACAAAATCAATACGTTCCCATCGTCGCGTGTGATTCTATAGTAGACCTGTCGTCCATTTTGCACCCAGAGTCGTGGGTAGGGGTTATGTCCAAGTGGTCGAAGCTGTTCTCATCAGGCCGGTACCAAGAGTGGTCGGGATCCGGGATTCGGCGGATAGCTCGCTTGTTCGCTAGCCAATCCTCGACCATCATACGTGCATAGGTTTCACAGCACCGACCGGAAATTTCGTAACTCCTCAGCATCATCTCAGGCACCTTCAAGTGAATGTATTCTGGGATAGGCGCAGCAAGCACTGCCTGCAGATCGTCGACGTTTTGGCTGAGCCATTCGAGCAGTTCGATGTCTGGCGCGATCGATTTCAGGTCGACCATCCCGTATTTTCCGATGGGTTTGTGGCGTTGCAGAATGGCGGGCAAGAATCGGGCGTCGACTTCCCAGTGCTGCCCCAATTCCAAATTCTTACAACGCAACTCGATCCCCTCCAAGAAGGGCCGGCCTAGCCTTAGATGCCTGACAGTGGAGTCACGGAAAATGAACCTGATGCTTTCGGGACTGTCAATCCATACAGGTATGCCTTTATATGGCCTTACGCACAAACGTCGGCCTTCCGGATCCTCGTAAATTTCCACATTCCAATACCTGTCTCGACAGTCGTTGGCGAGCTCCATCATCGTCTTGCTTGTGATGGCCGTCTTGAAGAAACTCTTAAAATCCATATGGCCGAGGATGTTTTGCCGGACAGCGAATGGGAATTCAAAGAAGTTGTACATCACCTGGAATCAAAATATTATTATGATAAGTAGCGCTAAAGAGATAAGGAAATATTGGGATAAGAGAGAGAGAGAGGGGGGGAGAGAGAGAGAGAGAGAGAGAGAGAGATAGAGAACGAGGGAGAAGGAGAGCGATGAGCTAGAAAAAATTCTACAATAACTACAGCTTAAATTGGGACTACAATTAAAATTCTGACAGACTGGAATGGATGCCTTTTTGAAAACAACACTTGACGTTATCACCATCCCTGCCATCTGCCGTTAGTCCCAACCGGGCAATTATCGTAGTCGCTGAGGTCAACCACGGATTCTATTGGTGTTTTAACACCTACACCCGCCTTTCCGCCGAATACATTTGGTTTAAGGCTTAAAAAAGCGAAACCATGGCGGAGAGGCAGATCTAAATCGTCAAAATCGGACACGACTGTCAGCCGCTATAGGGGGTACGTTTTGGGACACCCTGTCCTTGGCTAAATGCTTTTAACCCCTAGAGTCAGGATTCTGCGGAGCATAGCCATAAAACATCAGTGCGAACTCTAACCAAGCTTTTGGTTAAGTTTTATTCACAACCAAATCACTTTTGGACGACCCGGACGAATTGTTTGGCGTAGCGTTTGAGATTTTTATCGCGGCGCAGACGTCGATCGGGATGCACAAAGATCAGAATCTGCTTCTCGTGGTCGACAACCAGCATCAACGCGTTGCCGTCGTCGCGTTGGATACGCCAGCACGCTCCTTGGTCCCGTAGCCACCGTTTTGGGTACGGTTTGAGGTAATCGGGGTCAAAGCCGGAGAGCCGATCGCGGAACGACATATCGCCGATCGTGACGTCAAGTATTTCCCGGGTTCCCGCCATCCATTCCTCGATCATCGTCCGTGCGTAGGCTTCGTAGCACGGATCGGAAGTCTGGTAGTTCCACAACACCATTTTGGGGACTTTCAAAGTAATGTATTCCGGGGCAGGTGCGTCAATTTCGGCCCCTACATCAGCAACGTTTTCATTCAGCCATCCCAGCAATTCGTTGCATGCCCGGACGGCGCTCGTGGACACGGAAGCATATTTTAGGGCCGGTTTGTGCCGTTTGAGATTGGCCAGCAGCAATTCGGAATTCACGCTCCAACTCAAGTCCAATTCCAGATGATCGCAGCGGAGGTCGATCTCCTGAGGGATAGGCCGGTCTAGCCTCAGGAAATTGACGGTTGAAGTGTGGAAAAGCAACTTGATCGTGTCGAGGCTTTCGATTAGGGCATCCTCAAAGCCTTCTTCGCATACCAACCAAAGTTCAGCTTCCGGATCATCGTGAACGTCCAGATTCCAATATTTGTCCCGGCAACCTCTAGCTAGCTCCATCATTTTCTGGCTCGTGATGGCCGTTTTGAAGAAGCTTCGAATGTCCATGTGACGGAGGATGTTGTGCTGGATCATGAGTGGGAACCCGTAGAAGTTATCCATCACCTGAAATGCAGCTTTTACTATGATACTCATTAAATGAAAAAGCATGAAATTTAGAACTAAACGAAATCGGAATCAAGATAAAAGGAAGAAAGGCGAGAGAGAGAAGATACGTAACAGAAAAACATCTGTTATCGTCGGGCATCTGCCAGGCCCTACTGCAAATTACGCATCAATTGTCGCGCTTGAAAGGAATCCATTCAATTCAGTTTCGCTTGCTTGATATTGACATTTATTAGATTAATTTAAATCCACATTCGGAATTAGTCACCCCAAAATAATCCAGGTGAACAAAAATCTTATTCTGCTTTGGTGATGGGGCGGAAATCGGCCGCTGCCTTGAAACATGGTAAAAAGTTGCGGTAGCTGATTTTTATGTAAATAGGCAACGATGCCTGCCGCTGGATGGTGATCCTTGGAATTGGGCTGTTGGCGTTGATCTTGTTGTCTGGTGAGTAGGAGAGCATAGAAACAACGGTTTTTTAGTGAAATATGGCTCACAAGTTGAGGGTGATCTACCACATTCCGCTCCTCATGCTCCTCCAAAAATCGATACGGGCTCGGTAGCGATTGGCTCGAATTCCGAAGTTTTCTGATTTTTAGAAAGAAAACCTGTGCACGACAAAGGGATGTACAGAAGCGGCTGGCATGATTGTAGGCCAAATTTCTGCACTAAATTCTGAACATGTTCAACGAGTTAGTTTTCTAAACCTTGGTGAGCTTCCAGATCCAAAACATGAACCTCGCCATCGACCCATGCGAGGATTTCCACGAGTACGCTTGCGGGGGATGGAATCAGGTAAAAACAAAGTCCGAACAGTTCATCGAGCACCGAAAATTTGTAGAAGAACACGGGACCGGTCACCGGCTGGCTGCGCGTTACCCTGGAGCAGCAGATTTTTGGTATGCCTTTTTTTTGGAGCCGCGCGATTGCGTTACTCCAACGACGCGAGTGAAATCTTGTAGAGATACTCACGAATGACAAATCGGGAATGGCGGCAGGCGAGAAGGCGATGGCCTTCTACGAGTCTTGCCAAACCATCGACCTCGAAAATTTTAACTCGGAGCTCCAGGAATATGTCAAGAAGTTTGGGGAGCTGCGGCTGATCGGGCAAAAGTTGGAGCCGGGATTGGTGGGATTCTGATTAAGTAGCTCTCTCTCTCTCTCTCTCTCTCTCTCTCTCTCTCTCTCTATCTCCCTATCTCTCTGTCTCTATCTCTCTCAAATGCTCTCTCGCTCGCTCTCTCTCTCCCTTTCTCTCTCCCTTTCTCTCTCTCACTGTCTTTCTCTTTCCCGCTCCCTCTCTCGCCCTCTTTCTCTCTGCCTGCTCTCTCTCTCCTCTCTCTCTCTCTCTCTCTCTCTCGCTGTCTTTCTCTTTCCCGCTGCCTCTCTCTCTCTCGCTCTCTTTCTTTCTCGCTCTCTCTTTTTCTCGCTCTAGCTAATGCAATTTTTCGATGTTTAGAGCCAGCCCAGCATCACCGACACGTTGTTGTTCACCACGTTCCCCAGGATCCGCAAGGATGACGAGCTTTCTGCCGCAAACTGTCTACCCTGTATCCAACCTTCTTCCAGCCCATCTGTTAGGGTATCGACAATCGTCCGTCCCGGAATTGATGCAAAATTCTAGCTCTCCATGCCGCATGATCGGGCGATGTTTTTCGATACGAGGTATGCGCCCAGGGGACCGCTTGATGAAGGAAAAGTCAGGAGTGGGCTTGAGGAGGTCTTTTTGAGGAATTACCGTAAAACTGACTATCGTTTTTAGGCTTTTACGGAAATAGAGGCCCTGGGCTTCAACGTCAACAATGAGACCCGCCAGGAGCAGTTGGAGGAACTCTTCGAATTTTACAAGAAGCTTTTTGTCGTATGTAAATATCGAATCTCTGGTAGTGGACGGGAGCGGACTAATTTTTATTTTTTTCTCGCCTTTTCGTGCTGGTTAATACTATATAACGTATTTCCACATTGTGGTCAGTAGTTTTTAACGACTATAATATTATGAAAATTCAAAAATTTCGGAATTTTGAGCTTTTGGCCATTTTTTATACGTTTTTGACCAAAAATGTCCAAAAAATGAGGTAACTTTCTAGCTTTTGAAAGCTGTTTTTAGGTCTGGAAAATGTGTAAAATGCTATCTTGAGAAAAATTTCGACATGTCCCCGTGACGAGTACACTACCACGTCCCCTACTTTTCCAAATCTTTCCAGGTGATGCAAGCACAAAATTCGAGACGGGCCCTTTTCCCACGATCGCCGACCTTCAGAAATTGGCCCCAGCGGTAATAAGATTTAAAGTATCGCTATTTACTTAATCACAGTATGACTGGATGCACTTCATCCGCTCCCATTTCCCCAAGTACCTCCACAGCGAGATCACCGAGCAGATGGAGATCTTGCTTTTCGGATCTCAAAACATGGGGCTGGTAGCAAATTTCTATGCGTTTCTCACAGCTACCCCTTCAGATATCTGAGGTCCTGCTTGCCATCCCGCGCCACGTCATCCAGAACTTTTTTCGTCAACTGGGTCCGGCACCTCCGGCAGCGATTCCGGCTCCATTCTAGGGTACCATGCAGAACAAGGGTGAGTTTTTAGAGGTCTTACGTCATTTTAGAGGGGGCTCGAATACGAAATGCTTCGTAAAGTAGTAGCAAGTATTTTAATGTTTTTTTTACTAAAAACCTATCAATATTTTAGTTGGAAAACTATCTACCGGCACTTTCATAGGCTTTTCAAAATTTCAAATTTTGGTGAAAAATTGACCATTTCATTTTGTGCTCGAAAGATCTGGGTTTTATGGATTTTTGAAGTAAAATGCTAATTAGACAAAATTATGTTAGCCTTTTGGAAAGCCACTTCCTTTAGCTACTCGACTACTTCAGGACACTTTCGGAGCACCTGGCCCCTCGACACGATCCGATCAAAGAGTCATGTCGAAGACGTTAGGGTGGGTTCAAACTTATAGACCGACGGTTACCGAAACTTGTATTAAATCTTATTATTTAAATAAATTTTGTAATTGGTATTCTCTGAAACTAATTCAGAACCTCGGTAAGGAGATGCGCCGCGTCTTCCACCAAATTCTTTGATGAGAACACGTGGCTGGCCCCGGAAACGAAGGCCAAGCTCAAGCAGAGGGTATCGAAAGTTTTTTCGTTTTAGTTTTTATTAATTCCAGCCAATGACGTGCAGGAGCGCTACGGCGCACAATAAGCACGCCCTCGACAGGCAGAAAATCGACGACTTTTACGAGATGGTGAGGCTTTTTATGGCTAGGGGGCAAGCTTTTTTCGGCCAAAATTTTAGGTTTTTTCTTTTTCGCTTTTTAGGTAATAATCTGGTTCTAGAAAGATCCTTAGGCATTTCTAAACACAACAACAATACAAGTTTTTAATCAAAAAAATTATTTTAGGGAAAATCATGTTTTTTCGACTTAAAATGACCAAATTTCGACTTTTCACACGTTACCTTTTTTTGTGAAACGGTTTTGTACGTTACATATAGTTAAAACAACACTAAACCATACTTTAAGCGAATCCGTTCAGATCCCAATGCCTCAAGAATGGAACGCCGTCACCTTTCTGCAATTCGAAGACCGCGCCAGCTGGGCCGCATCGGAATTTGTAGCCGATTCGGTTCCAGCTTGACCCAACAAATCCTAGCATCTATTCGGTGATCTCGTCACTGATCCGCTGCGCATCAACGCCGTGAATTTGGCCGATAGAGCAATCGGTAAGTTCCTTTGTGGTTTGGCGATATCACAAGTTTTGTTCGTGAAAAATCGCCCATTTAGTCATCCCCATCGGCATCATCACCACCCCGTTCTACGACCCGACGTGGCCACTCGAGTTCAACTACGGCGGCATTGGGCAGATCATCGGCCACGAATTCACGCATACATTCGACGATCGATGTAGGGCATTTCGAGGACCATTTAGCCTCACTTGTTCCAGCCGCCCTACCCGAAGGGAATGTGGAAACGACACGAAGGAGTATCGAGAGAAGGAGAAATGCTTCGTCGATCAGTTCGGAGGCGTCACTTACGGAAATCCGCGGTTCAACATCAGCATTCAGGTGGCTAGGCAGAAGATCATCTCCTGGACGCTGGAAATTTAGGGCAACGGCAAGCTTCAGCACAAGGAGACGATCGCCGACAGCAACGGGATTCGGGTGGCTTGGAGGGTAGGAGTTTATGTCTCCTCCCCTCTCCGCTCCCTCTCCTCGCCCTCTCTCACTCTCCCTCTCCTCGCTCTCTCTCTCTCCTCTCTCTCTCTCTCTCACTCTAGCTCTCCTTGTTTCAGGCTTACCTCGAAAACGTAGCAGCTCTCGGTCCCAAACCCCGAAAACTCCCTGGACTTCAAGAATTCACCAACGATCAACTCTTTTTCTTGGCCCAAACCCAGGTAGATTTTCAGCAAAACTTAATCAGCTTCTTTGCAGCCGGAATGTGGAAGAACGCCTGCCATCTACCCCAATCAAAATCGCAAGGAGCTCAGTTGGCTTCATGAGTTTGTTTTGGCCTTGAATTTCTTGGCTCAAAATTTTAGTGAGCACCCAATCGGCAGTGTACGCGTCAACGAAAAGCTGAAGAACTTCAACGCGTTCGCAACGACATTTAAGTGCACGGTATGGCCGAGAGAGGGAGACGAAGAGAGAGAAAGCGAGAGAAAGTGCGAGAGAGAGAGAGAGAGAGAGCGCGCGAAATCACCTCTTTTTCAGTTGAACTCGACGATGAACCCGGAGAAGAAGTGCAGGGTCTGGCGCTACTACCACTGAAAGACTACGTTGCGCAACGAGACCAGATTATCCTCACGATTTTGCATATCGTTTTCTGTGTCTCTATGTGCCTTGGAATTTTTGCACAAACGCAATAAATATTTTTGCAAATCGCTAGATCGCTAGCGAAGCAATCGATTTTTGCAGGGAATTAAAATATTTAAAAACGAGCGCCCAAAACTCCGGTGCCTTGCGGACCCTCCCAACCCCGACCGAACTGGCGAGTGCAACTGGCAAGAATGAGGAAATTTGTATTTTTTTCACGTTACGCAAATGAGCCCCCTGGACCCCAAAAATGAATAAAACCGGCTTTAACTTTGTAAACTTGTATTTTATCAAAATTCTAAAGAAGTTCTCGGAAAGAGGATGGTCGATTCCTCCAAGTGACGAATTATTGTGCCGTTTTGGACACGGGAAGGCCCTCAAATCGGGCCTCGAAAATGACACCCACACATACAGAGAGATACACCCCAAATTATATAAGGTAGCATCAAATAATTAACATACAACACAAAAATTTACATTCTTGATCCACTAAAAGAAAAACTGCGTACCTGCGTTATTCATTCATCAGCGATGGCTCCGCAATCGGTAACCGCCCAGAAACTGGGTAAGCTATCACGGTGTAAGCTTACCCATGTATGCAAATTAGGCAAAGATGCCTGCCGCTGGATGGTGATCCTTGGAATTGGGCTGTTGGCGTTGATCTTGTTGTCCGGTGAGGAGGACAACATCGAAAACTATGTTTCATTTAGTGAAATACGGCTCTCAAGTTGGCGATGATCTATCGTATTCCGATCCCCGTGCTCCTCCAAAAATCGACCCGAGCTCGGTAAGAATCGACTTGATTTCCAGGATTGTTCTGATTTTTAGAAAGACAGCCTGTGCACGACAAAGGGATGTACTGAAGCGGCCAGCCTAATTGTAGGAGCTTATTTTTAGGCTTAAGTGCAGTTTACCCCGCCCCCCACCCCCCCCCCCCAGCCGACCCCACCTAACGTATCTCGGCACGCTGTTCATCTACAGGCGTGTAAAGTATGCCAAAAGACTTGCCAAAGCCAGACGAACATTTTGGTATACTTTACACACCTGTAGATGAACAGGGAGCCGAGACAAAAGCTGGGTGCCGGCTGGGCGCGGGGGAGGGGGTCCACTGCACTCTAACCTATTTTTAGGTGAAAATATGTGTGTTCAGATCCAAAACATGAACCCGGCCATCGATCCGTGCGAGGATTTTCACGAGTACGCCTGCGGGAAGTATAACGAGGTGACCTGGCCTTAAAATCCCATCCTTGTTTTGCAGAAGCACCAGGGCGCGTTCTGGAGCGAGCAGGAGGAAAAGATGTCGCAACAGCTTCTGGGTAGGCTTTCGGGTTACAATTTTTTTCGTGTGAAAAACAAGCTGCCGCCGTGCTTGTCGCGTTGCATGCCGCGTCGTATCTCGCGTCGCGTTGCATATGACCTTACGCGTCGCGGCATTTGACGTGGTATCTCGCGTAACGCGTCGCGTCGAAAGTGGCGTTGCGTGTCGCGTGGCTTGTCTCATCGACCTAGCGGCTGGCGTGCGGTACATTTCGCGTCGCGTGTCGCGTTGAATCGCGCTATGCGTGTGGCGTTGCGTGTTGCGTTGCGTTTCGTTGCGCGTCGCGCTTTCTACCAAGTGGCGTGTTCCAGTACGTTTTGCGACGCGTATCCAATTGTGTGGTGCAGCGCGTTGCGTATCGCGTTGCGCTCCTCGGATGCGGCAAAGTCTCAATACAAGCATTTCACAAACCCTTAAAACGCCTGGAATCCTGATCTCGCCTTCCAGAGCTGATCCTCAACGACAAATCCGGCATGCGAGCCGTCGAAAAGGCCCGCTCCTTCTACGAGACCTGCAAATCCCTCAGCAGCGACACCTTCCAGGCCGATCTTCACGAATTTGTGAAAACTCTCGGTGACATCCCCCTCATCGGTCAGAAGCGTGGTCCGGAGATGACGGTGATTCGAGTTTCCAAAATCTTTCTTATCCCTGTAGGTGAACCCGAGCTTCACCGAGTTGGTCGTCCACACGGCCCTCTATAGCTATGAATACAACTCCCGAGACAAAGGCTCGGAGAACGGGCTGATCGGGATTCGGGCTTCTGTGGCGGGAACTTATAAGGTAATTCGGGGCAGGAGTGGGCGTGGCCTTCCCCGAGCCACCCCCGCTAATGAACAAGAACCGGTACTTACGGTAAAACGGCTATGGAGAGATTGAAGGCCTGATAATCGACCTCTCCCAACGAATGGCTCTAAACAGCTACGCGATTCGGTTCTGGACTGTCAGCGGGGAAAGCAAATTTTTCCTTGTGGTTCTCTACGCGCTATAACAAAATCTTAACCATTTCTATAGCAATTTCTATCGCTTAAAGAAATTAAATTATTTTAGATTTAAAACAGGATAAAAAATAACACAACTTTTCGAAATATTTTGACTTTTGGTCAAAGATTTTTAAAAAGCTGTCGAAAGTTCCCGACCAATAACCCACTTTACGAGGATATTGGGTCGGTGACATTCGATGGCATAATGCTATCCCCTGGGGCGCGGGTCCCGCCGCGACCGGGCCATCGTAGCGCATTGCCTCCGAGAGAGAGGGGGATTTATGGGCATTCCGGGCCTGTCCTTTGGAGTCGCCTTATCCCCAGATCCCTCGTTGTCGGTACTGTGAACGGGCATTCTTCCCATTCAGTACGTCCAGCTACCACTCGTAATATCCCAGTAATGGGTTGAATGGCTAAGCGTGGATCAGACAGGCATTCCCAACAGCCAATACCTTTTCCCCGTCCACCTCCAGAGTTGTTTCCCTTTTCCCCGCCCTGCGCGGCGTCCTCTTCATTGTGTACCACCAGAGTTGTCTTTATTGTATGTATACATGGTAGATAAACCGTTTATCTCCTATTTCTCCTCTATAAGTCGTAATCGCATGGGATCTCATTCATGGTCTGTGGTCAGTCTTCTTGGCTTACATTAGTCTTACAGACCTCCGCTGATCCGACTACCCGTGTTAGGGGAAGTGTGAGGGTCGTAGGAGGAATAGGTGGCAAATCCCTCGCGTGGGCATTATTGGGATTTATCATCATCAACTATAATAAAAAAGTTGTGGTGTCTGTCTGTCTGAAGCCGAATTCAACTCGAAGGGGAAAGGAGCTAGAGCTTAGCTCTCTTCGGATTCGGATAGAGCGTGGTCAGAAACCCCCAAACTGATAAAAAAATTATGAAAAACTTTTAGTTTAAATTATTAAAATTAACTTTGAAAGTTTTTCCTTAGTAAACGGGGTGGGGCGGAGGCTGGGGTGATTTTGGACATAGTGAGCCAGGTGGCGCGCGTTTCGAGGATGAAAATCTTCACGGGGGATTTCATTTCCTTTTTCTCTCATTCCATCCGGTCGGTCGTTATTTTTTTGTTTTTAAGGGGATTTCGGCTGAGGGAGTATCTTAAACCATCAGGAAGGTATTTAAGTAGTTTTGAAGGGATTTCAGCCATGGGGGTATCTGGAAGCCATCAGGAAGGTATTTAGGTAGTTTTTGAAGGGGATTTCCAGCCATGGGGGTATCTGAAGCCATCAGGAAGGTATTTAGGTAGTTTTTGAAGGGGATTTCAGCCATGGGGGGTATCTGAAGCCATCAGGAAGGTATTTAGGTAGTTTTTGAGGGGATTTCAGCCATGGGGGGTATCTGAAGCCATCAGGAAGGTATTTAGTTAGTTTTTGAAGGGGATTTCAGCCATGGGGGTATCTGAAGCCATCAGGAAGGTATTTAGGTAGTTTTTGAAGGATTTCAGCCATGGGGTATCTGGAGCCATCAGGAAGGTATTTAGGTAGTTTTGAAGGGGATTTCAGCCATGGGGGTATCTGGAAGCCATCAGGGAAGGTATTTAGGTAGTTTTTGAAGGGGATTTCAGCCATGGGGGGTATCTGAAGCCATCAGGAAGGTATTTAGGTAGTGTTTGAAGGGGATTTCAGCCATGGGGGGTATCTGAAGCCATCAGGAAGGTATTTAGGTAGTTTTGAAGGGATTTCAGCCATGGGGGTATCTGAAGCCATCAGGAAGGTATTTAGGTAGTTTTTGAAGGGGATTTCAGCCATGGGGGGTATCTGAAGCCATCAGGAAGGTATTTAGGTAGTTTTTGAAGGGGATTTCAGCCATGGAGGCCATCGGGAAAGTATTTAGGTAGTTTTGGAAGGGATTTCGGCTATCGGGGTATTGATGGAGGTGGGAAGGATGTGGTGGAGTGGGACATGCAGGGTAGCCCGAAGGCCAGATGGTTGCAGTCGCGAAGCGACTGTAACCATCTGGTTTCTAATAGTGCGGGATTGCTATTCCTTTTCGACAAAAGCTACCTAAAAAGGTTTTC